TGCCCAGGAGGCATGCCCGAAAGGCATGCCTCGTGCCCCGTGCCCCCAACCCTAGTGCAAAAAATAGGATACCCATCTCAAGTTTAACTATCTATACTATGACCAATTCTAACATCCTGAAACTAAATATTATATTATGTCTAGTTCTAATATCATGAATCTAACTACTGTGCTATGTCCAGTTCTAGTTATTATGCTATGTTCCAAATCTAGCTACCGATTCTGTGCTATGACCGAAGAGACGAAATCTCGAAATCTCTACTAAATCAACAAAATTATTCTAGCAAAGATATCAACTCAGTAACTGTGGCACCAAATAATGACAACCCTGGAAAAAAAAAATTTGAATAAAATAACGATAATCAAAAAAAAAAAATTGAATAAATAATACTGTATAAATTTGCTAAAATATTTATCGGTACGCGATTATTTTAAAATCAAACCAAATGCGTTATTGTTAATAGCACATGACTGATCTTAGATAAATCTAACCAATCAAATTGTTTAAAACGCACAGACGAACAGACATTAAAATTTAGTATAGATGTTAAAATTTTAAATGCATTTGGGTTGTTGCCCAGCAAAACCATGCTTAGAGTATATAAAAAATATATACTCTAAGCATGGTTTTGCTGGGCAACAACCCATTTGTGATTTACTAATCAAGAAAATTTATTATTTTTTTTGATCAGCAATACATACCGATTTGGTTTGACCCCAAAATTTTACAAAAACGGTTTTTTTGAATCCATAAATAAGTGTATAGAATATCTACATGTTTAATTATTAGCTGAAAGTAAGTTAAAAGGTCGGTTTTCTCAAAAATTGCATCCGAATTCGCCCTTACCCATTATACAATATTACAATTAACTTTGCTTGTATAACCATTATACTTTCATTATACTTTTATATACTTTTTGCGTGTAACATTTTAATAGTTTATGCGAAGTATAAAGCATACTTTAATTAGACTTGAAATAGACTATAGCTTATTTTAGAGTTTATTCATAGATATATATAGAACGTTATGTATTTTAGTTCTTTAGTTGTTTTTAGTTGTTTTTAGTCTTTTTGGTATTTTGAGTTGGATTTTAGTACGTACTAGGTTGGTTAGTTGGATAAGAATATTGGTTACTTTAGTGTCTGGGACGCAATAAAGAAATATTTGTTTAGTACTTTAAGGTGTCTTGTGTCTAATAATAAGCAATTGGTTTCTCATATTAATGCTTACGACCCTTAGCTAAATTGGCTCAACCGATATAAAGTCTCTCCCACTGGTCGTAACAACAACCGATCAAAAAATGACAAACTGATCGTTCACTACCCGAAAATACCAGAACGCTTCAACAACTAGTGATAGTGCTTTCTTTACGGCTTATAATAGCTGTTTTTTTAGTATTTACTGCTTATTTATCTCATATAGAGACTAAAAAAACATTTTTAATGAATGTTTCGTATGTTATTCTTCAAGTCACTTAATGGCATAAGTTTGTGTAACAGCTTATCGACAAAAGACCCCTAAAAATCAAATCGGTGGATATGATATACTGTAAATGTATAACGATAGACCTCACGGGTCAGCTTTATTAATGGCAGAAAACTATACGTGAAGAAATAACGCGATCATATATAAACATGCAAAGATTGACATAATGGTTAATTGGATCAACTAATAAAAGATGATCGGAATTTCATTATCCTTGTTGAGTTCTCCTCAATTGGTATGAAAAGAATCTATCGTCTTCCCCGAAATCACTATTGCGTACTCCCACTTCTGTTAGTATCCATGCCGTTCCAACAGGGTGCAGTGGAGCATTAGGGTGTTGAGCTTGGAGGCTAGTAGGAACGAAGAAGGCGTTTGGAAAAAGAGCGCGAGTATTGTTGCGTACAGTATAGAGTTCGGTGACAGTTGCGAAGTGAAAGATACAACGAGAATTCTCATCTCGGCGCCTATTTTGAAAAGCTTGGATCAATCAGCAGGGTTGGCCGGCTTATTATACAGTCATAGATGCTTTTGCAACAAATGGTCGATTTGGAGAAATAATAAGGACTGGGTCGAGATTTTTACACTACTAAGTTGCTTCTCGTATTTTGTAATTTCTTCTTTGGAGGCTTGCGGGAAAATCTTCAAAGTCTTCAGACATTCTAAAAATAATGTGGAAAGAGTAAGCTTTTATTAACTACAATGGCCCGGATAACATTATACTTACTCGTTGGATGAAGAAGTAGTGTTGCTTATTTAACAAGGCGTAATTGCTGTGTTAAAAGCATAAAATTTGATTTATCGATGTTATATTTTTACCTTTCCACAACTGTATAGTACCAAATACAATGGCTAAGATAAGAGGAAAAAAGGCGAAGGAGAAAGCCTAAAGAATGTGAAATGGAAATAAGTTAGAGAGGCGACAAAGAAGGCAACATAGTTGTCAATAAAGCTTGCAGAGTGTGAAAATACACCATACAGACCAGCCAGCCGAACAATGCACAGATTGGAGGTATCGTAGCATAAGTAAACCAGGCGAGGGGTGAGAAGAACATTTCAACTTTTTTCATGATGGGAAAACCAGTTTTGAGAGGTGAATCAATGAATTGCATATAAGAATTTATTTTTCTGATATAAATGTATAACGTGTTTTCCGTGAAATTTCGATAAAATTACGTAAAAATTGTTTTGGGTAACAGTGAAAATTGTTTTTTATTGCGAATAAAATTTAAATCAAATTTTATTTAAACTTGATTGATAATGATATTATAACTAGCCAGTATTTTTTTCTAGTACCCACGAATACTGGAATATAATCAATATTGATGGGTATCCTATTTTTTGCACTAGGGTTGGGGGCACGGGGCACGAGGCATGCCTTTCGGGCATGCCTCCTGGGCA